GGAACCCGCCCCAGCCCCATTATTTTGGGCTGGCAGAGCCATCCCCACTGTCCCCTCCATTCCGGGGCCACCCAACATCCCCCTCCCGCTGCCCCAGGTTATACCAGATCCCCTTCGAGATGCCGGACTGCGGGGGGGAGTCGGAGTCCCGCACCCTGCACCTCGTCGGCGATTTCTCCGCTCCCGCTGAATTTTTCGTGACCCTGGGGGTCTTCTCCTTCCTCTACGCCATGGCAGCTCTGGTGCTTTACCTGCGCTTTCATTCCCTCTACGGCGAAAATAAGAAGCTTCCCTTCGCGCAACTGGGCACAAGGGTTTATGTACGTGCTTGGGGGAGAGGTTGATGGTGCTTCCAGCAGAGCTTGGCGGCTCCCAGCCCTGGCGGGGGCACACGCGTGTGCACACACACCCGCACGCACACCGGCGTGTGGATGCCTGCGCGTGCTGGCCAAACCCCTGCAGGGGCACGTGCAGCCACGCACTCACGCGGTCCCGTGAGAATGCACGCGCACACCCGAGCGCACACAGGCATATACATGTGTGCACACACGTGTGTATGCTCACACCCGTGAGCCCTCGGGTGCGCACACGCGTGCCGGATTCCCGAGCTCAGCCAGGAGAGGGCGGTGGAAACGTGTGCACACGCGCTCCATGGCCACGGTGCCAACTCCACGCTGGTCCCACGGGACAGGGTCCCCTTCCTGCACCCCCATGAGAGCCCCCAGCCATAGGGGACCCCCACGCCAGGGTGGATGGTGGTGATATAGCCCCTGGCGTGGGGTGTGTGGGGTGCATGGGGTGCAGAGGGTGCATGGGTTGCATGGGGTGCATGAGGTGCACGGGGTGCATGGGGCACATGGGATGCACAGGACACATGGGATGCACAGGGGAGGGGGTGCATGGGGGGTGCACAGATTGCATGGGGCACACAGGGTGCACGGGGTGCATGGGTGCATATGGTGCACAGATTGCACAGGGTGCACAGTTTGCACGGGGCACATGGGGTGCACAGGGCACATAGTATATGTGGGGTGCACGGGACATGGGTTGCATAGGATAAATGAGGTGCACGGGGTGCACAGATTGCAGGGGGCACACAAGGTGCACAGGGCACACAGGGTGCATAGGGCACATGGGGTGCACGGCGCACATGGGGTGCACAGATTGCGTGGGGTGCACAGGGGGCATGGGTTGCATGGGGCGGGTGGGGTGCATGAGGTGCACAGGGTGCACAATACACATGGGTTGTATAGGATACATGAGGGGCACGGGGTGCACAGATTGCAGGGGGTGCATGGGGTGCACAGGGTGCACAATACACATGGGTTGTATAGGATACATGAGGGGCACGGGGTGCACAGATTGCAGGGGGTGCATGGGGTGCACAGGGTGCACAATACACATGGGTTGTATAGGATACATGAGGGGCACGGGGTGCACAGATTGCAGGGGGTGCATGGGGTGCACAGGGTGCACAATACACATGGGTTGTATAGGATACATGAGGGGCACGGGGTGCACAGATTGCAGGGGGTGCATGGGGTGCACAGGGTGCACAATACACATGGGTTGTATAGGATACATGAGGGGCACGGGGTGCACAGATTGCAGGGGGTGCATGGGGTGCACAGGGTGCACAATACACATGGGTTGTATAGGATACATGAGGGGCACGGGGTGCACAGATTGCAGGGGGTGCATGGGGTGCACAGGGTGCACAATACACATGGGTTGTATAGGATACATGAGGGGCACGGGGTGCACAGATTGCAGGGGGTGCATGGGGTGCACAGGGTGCATGGGACGCACAGGATACATGAGGTGCATGGGATGCACGGGGTGCACAGTTTGCATGGGGCACATGGGGCACACGGGGTGCGTGGGGTGCACAGGGTGCATGGGACGCACAGGATACATGAGGTGCATGGGATGCACGGGGTGCACAGTTTGCATGGGGCACATGGGGCACACGGGGTGCACAGGGCATAGAGGGCACACGGGGTGCATGGGACACAGGGTACATGGGATGCATGGGGCACATAGGGTGCGTGGGGTGCAGAGGACGCATGGGACGCATAGGATACATGGGGTGCACAGGGTGCACAGGGCACAGAGGGCACACAGGATGCACAGGGTGCATAGGATACATGGGGTGTATGGGGCGCATGGGGTGCACGGGGCACAGGGGGCACACAGGATGCATGGTACACGTAGGATACATGGGGTGCATGGGGCACACGGGGTGCACAGGGCACATGGGGTGCATAGGATACATGGGGCACACAGGGTGCACAGGGCACAGAGGGCACACGGGGTGCATAGGATACATGGGGTGCATGGGGTGCACAGGGCGGAGGGGGCACACGGGGTGCATGGGACACAGGATACATGGGGTGCAAGGGGCGCACGGGGTGCACAGGGCACATGGGTGCACAGTTTGCACGGGGCACGTGGGGTGCATGGGGTGCACAGGGCACAGGGGGCACACGGGGTGCATGGGACACAGGATACATGGGATGCATGGGGCACACGGGGTGCGTGGGGTGCACAGGGTGCATGGGACGCACAGGATACATGAGGTGCATGGGATGCACGGGGTGCACAGTTTGCATGGGGCACATGGGGCACACGGGGTGCACAGGGCATAGAGGGCACACGGGGTGCATGGGACACAGGGTACAGCATGGGATGCATGGGGCACATAGGGTGCGTGGGGTGCAGAGGACGCATGGGACGCATAGGATACATGGGGTGCACAGGGTGCACAGTTTGCACGGGGCACATGGGGCACACGGGGTGCACAGGGCACATGGGTGCATGGGATGCATGGGGCACATAGGGTGCGTGGGGTGCAGAGGACGCATGGGACGCATAGGATACATGGGGTGCACGGGATGCACGGGGCGCATGGGGTGTACGGGGTGCACAGGACACATGGGTGCATGGGATGCACGGGGCACATAGGTGCATGGGGGGCACAGGGCACATGGGATGCACAGGATACATGGGGTGCACGGGCTGCACGGGGGGCACAGGGCACATGGGATGCATAGGATACATGGGGTGCACGAGGGGCACAGTGTGCACGGGGCGCACGGGACGCACGGGACACATGGGGACGGGGTGCACAGGGTACATGGGACGCATAGGATACATGGGGTGCACGGGCTGCACGGGGTGCACAGGGCACATGGGACGCATAGGATACATGAGGTGCACGGGGTGCACAGTTTGCATGGGGCACATGGGGCACATGGGGTGCACAGGGCACAGAGGGCACATGGGATGCACAGGGTGCATAGGATACATGGGGTTTATGGGGCACACAGAGTGCACAGGGCACATGGGGGGGCATGGGGTGCACAGGGCACAGAGGGCACATGGGATGCACAGGATACATGGGGTGCATGGGCTGCACGGGGGGCACAGGGCACATGGGACGCATAGGATACATGAGGTGCACGGGGTGCACAGTTTGCATGGGGCACATGGGGCACATGGGGTGCACAGGGCACAGAGGGCACATGGGATGCACAGGATACATGGGGTGCATGGGCTGCACGGGGGGCACAGGGCACATGGGACGCATAGGATACATGAGGTGCACGGGGTGCACAGTTTGCATGGGGCACATGGGGCACATGGGGTGCACAGGGCACAGAGGGCACATGGGATGCACAGGATACATGGGGTGCATGGGCTGCACGGGGGGCACAGGGCACATGGGACGCATAGGATACATGAGGTGCACGGGGTGCACAGTTTGCATGGGGCACATGGGGCACATGGGGTGCACAGGGCACAGAGGGCACATGGGATGCACAGGATACATGGGGTGCATGGGCTGCACGGGGGGCACAGGGCACATGGGACGCATAGGATACATGAGGTGCACGGGGTGCACAGTTTGCATGGGGCACATGGGGCACATGGGGTGCACAGGGCACAGAGGGCACATGGGATGCACAGGATACATGGGGTGCATGGGCTGCACGGGGGGCACAGGGCACATGGGACGCATAGGATACATGAGGTGCACGGGGTGCACAGTTTGCATGGGGCACATGGGGCACATGGGGTGCACAGGGCACAGAGGGCACATGGGATGCACAGGATACATGGGGTGCATGGGCTGCACGGGGGGCACAGGGCACATGGGACGCATAGGATACATGAGGTGCACGGGGTGCACAGTTTGCATGGGGCACATGGGGCACATGGGGTGCACAGGGCACAGAGGGCACATGGGATGCACAGGATACATGGGGTGCATGGGCTGCACGGGGGGCACAGGGCACATGGGACGCATAGGATACATGAGGTGCACGGGGTGCACAGTTTGCATGGGGCACATGGGGCACATGGGGTGCACAGGGCACAGAGGGCACATGGGATGCACAGGATACATGGGGTGCACGAGGGGCACACTTTGCACGGGGCGCATGGGACGCACAGGATACATGGGGTGCATGGGGCACACGGGGGGCACAGGGCACATGGGACGCACAGGATACATGGGGGGCAGGGGGCACAGG